AATTACTTCAGAATCTTATCTACACATCTAACACATGTGATCTGAACACTATGTTTTATTTATAAAATTTAATTGAGTTAAGAAATGAAACTACTTTAATTCTTATGAATAGGAAGTCAGTTTGCATTTTGTGAAATTTACTTTTCAAACTCTGTTTGCTTGGCTGTGTTGTGGTTTGAGGAACGTGTGCCACATAATCACCCTTGTAATAAGGTGCCTGTTTAACAAGAATGTAAAAACCGACCATGTCAAACGTTAAACTAAAGTTGACACAGCAAGGGAGGTATTTGCCCACACTGATCCAAAGCACTGTGCTGAAATTATACAGCAGGCCTGTCCAAGCTGAAGTCTGGCAGGTACAATGGTATAGACTGGCAGCAGTCTGTAGGAAAACAGCATTTCATTTGTTGTGATGGAACAAGAGTAACTTATATGGTAAATAATTTGAACTTGGTCGTATTTCTTTCTTTAAATTAAAGTATGTGTTTGCTGTGCACAATAAAAATTGATGTAAGTGTCTCCAAGTAGGTAGGAAGCGCGTTGTCCAGCAGGTTATTGGTGCTACTGACGGCTTGGCATCCAGAAGCCTGTTTCACAAAGCTATCTTAATGCCATGGTGATCGTAACTCCCGTACTTAAACAAAGGCTAATGGTCATCGTAGCACTAAGGTTGCTTCGTGGACCAGTCAAACTTAATGCTAATGTCTCCAGTCAGACTGGAGGCATGTTGTGCAGCAGACTATTGGTGTCACTGATGACTTAGCATCCAGACAACCAACACCAGTGCTTCTGGTAAATATACTTTATATCAAACCACAATGCAAGTCCTCAGGATTATATTGGAGTTATTGCATGTGGCAAGGAGGGCAATGGTACTTGTTAGCTGGTGCTAAACCGATGAGTGGTATGTAGGTATATGGGCCAAGTCTGTAGGGATGTACGAGTGACTGTGAAGGCGAGACAGATAAGTGTTAGGTGTCTATCATGCTGAGGTAGAGAAATGTTAAGGAGATTAATGTTTCTTCTAATGGGTATTTTGTATGAAGGAGCGTGTGGAAAGATTTATCACTTCATAGAAAGTCCATATCAATTCATGGAAGACCAATCAAAGGTGATCATAGAGAGAATGTATCTGTGCATGGAAGACCAATCAAAGGTAATAATAGAACGCCTATATCAAGGCTTGGTAAAGTAAATGTAGGTCATCATTGGAAACTTGTATCAAGGCATGGAGGACCAATTAAAGCTGAAGATAGGGAGCCTGTATAAAGGCTATGTAGAACTATTATATGTAGAACTATTATATGTAGAACTATTAAAGGTCATCATGGTGAATCTGGATAAGGTCCTGGGTGCCGTTGTACAAAGCGATCTTAGCGCTAAGGTAACCGTAACTCCCATACCTTAACATAGACTTAAAGGTCACATGCAACGTAAAACACAACTTTGCAGATTCTGATACCTTTCGGTATGGACTTACCGAAACAAATCGTCAAAAATGCAAATTCAACTTATAAAGTCGAAAAATAACGCAGATGAAAAAAAACGCTCGAAATCGGAGTTCAAACGTTTCACTAATTTTCCCCAGACTTTTCTGGGGAAAACGGGTTTCAACAGCTTGGCTGCGCTTATAGCACGTGCGCAGTGAAGTAGGTTCGCGCAGCTTGGAAGCGGTTGTCCGGTGAATACTCGGTGGAGGCTTTGGTGTGAGCTATTTTTCTAATGTTTTGTTGATATCTCACAGGCGCGAGCTTTTATATGTTATGACAGTAAATTAACTGTTTATATAATTTCATTTGTCTATTTCACCACACGCTCTTCTTACCGAGTCACTTTCTCAGTTCGATACTTAAAAGCAATGCCATTATTTAGCTGACAGAATTTCCAACTGTGATATAGATATGTCGTTGTCACAGACTAAACTCAATGTCTTGTTTTATTGACACCTGTGTGTCTGCCTGCCTGTCTGCTAATGACAATATTCAATACACAGCTGCTATCACTGACCACATGCAATTTGAACTTAACACCAATCAGGCTATACACCATAAACAAAATGCATTGATTTATGGCCCGAGTTCGGTCTCTGTCACATTATGTAATTACACAGACAGGCAGGTGTGATACTTGAACACATGACATGTTATGATGTCTGTTGATTGCAAAATGTTATACACAAAAAATGAGCATGTATTTACAAAACCCAACATCTCTATATGTACACACACAATCAGCCGTGAGAGCATCTGCAAATGAACCAGCCTTTACACTTGAGTGCACACCCACCCGCTCTGACTGGGTTCGGTATCCCGGCTGCTTCGTTTCTTGGGAAGTAAACCAAAGTACACAATATTGCACTTTTGATTTGCGATTGTACGCTTATAATTTTGTTTAGATGTTTTTTCATAACCAGCAATGTATATTATATGTCATGAATAAGTGATAATTGTGTTTTAATTATGTTTGATTTTTTGGTTGCATGTGACCTTTAAGGTAGTCTTAGCACTAAAGTTGTTTTGTACAATGGCACCCAGGGCCTAGATTTTCGAAGGTCTCTTAGCGATAAGATAGTCATAAGTTAATGTTAATGTATGGAACTTACGACTATCTAAGCTCTAAGAGAGCTTAAAAAATCTAGGCCCAGGTAGATATGTCCAAAAGATCCTACAAGGCCATAGAGACACTCAAATTAAATGAGATCTTTTTCTCCGATATACCTATCTGCAGAAAGATCTAAATTCACATCCATTGAAGGTCATGTCAGAACTTTCGAGTCACCCAATCAGCGGAGAGGCTTCTAAATTCTTAGTTTGAGTGAGCAAAGCATTTGATAAAGTAAAGCTTATTTCGATATATCTTGAAAATAAATATAATCAGGGTGATCCATGTGCAAAAATATAGTCTTTTCTGAAATCCATAGCAAAGGATGCAATATGTGGGGTATATTTGTTTTCTGTGGCAATTTCTTTTGCTGAAATGGGAGTTTCTGAAACAAAAGCTGACCTGTTGATCTCTGCCTTTAGAACCTTTGAATCCTTTATCATTTGTTTATTTTGACTAGGCAATGTTCTCTGAGGGTTGTTCTGATATAACCTTGTTTGTAATGAGGTATCATATCAGTAAATTATTTGATCTGTATGAAATTGTCTCAGAAAAGACTGAGTAGACTTTGTTCAAGTCGATTTTACAGGTCTTTATCAAGGCTAGGTGGACAAGATGTAGGCATCTGTATCAAGGCTAGGTGGACAAGATGCAGGCATCTGTATCAAGGCTAGACACACAGGCAGCAAGCTGGGAGGTTTGCCAGGAATGTGGCTGAAACACCCATGTGTCTCCTACTTCTCAATTAACATGGCCGCCCGTGTCCTCATCTCAGGGTCTGCTCCAAGCTAAGCCATTGTATAATCTTACAGTGGAGGATTACTGTCTAGTGGCAGTTGTAGAACTTTATTGATTGTACTCCCTTTTACTTCTGCCATGTCTCAATCCATCAAGGAACACTTCATCATCGAGTGGTACACATACACAGGAAGATGCTACAATGAAATATGATTATACTTAATTTGCTATTCATGCTTTGGTGATCAAAACAAAAATAGTAAGTTTTATCAAATGGGCTTCTGGAACCTCTGGTTTGTCAAACGTCATTTGTTTCTATTTGAGTTGAAAGAGAATTATCCTTGAGAACATACACTGAACTCGAAACATAAATATTTTATTGAAGAGATGTTAATCGTATCATAGAGTGTTGATTTCAGTACTTATCTGTTGGGCACTTGGTCACCTCTGCTTATGAAGGCACTTAATTTGAAATTGGAAGCACATATTCTGTTGAAGTGATTAGATAAAGAAAACAGCAAACGTCCCTCAGATGGAAGCAAGTGGCAGCTATAGCAGATATCTCCCAAGCATGTGATAACAGCACTTGCTGCCACCAAGCATACAAGCCATAATTACCCACCTGTGTATTCGCCAGATAGGAAGGTGGAATTTGGAGACTATGTGTGTCTCTTTTTCACAGGAAATTTTCACACTTAACGAGTTAAATGCCCTGAGTTATCACACCTCTGTGTCAGGGTGTTGGGATTGGGCTCTGTTGTGTTGTGCTTGTGAAAGGTACTTTAGCAATTTCTTTGTGTTTTACACAATTCTGTCTCTAACATTTGTCTAAGATGACTCAACTATTCAGTAATTGTTAAGTAAATCTATTCAACTTCATACTTTCACGTCTCAAACTCTAACATGCGTCTACTCATTGGCGTAACTTTATGAATAAATCTATTCACATGAATGGTCCAGAAGCAAGTTCCTGTAACTTTCTTGTGATCTTGTCAGAAACTTGTGAATAGCTGGTTTACATATGACTTACTGTTTGGATGCATTGAAAGATTGGGAATATTTTGTACATCAAGACTATTCTGAATCAAGAGTCAACAACCTTATATCCATAACTGTTTATGAACATTTCATTTTAATCATTCACATGAACAAATTTCAGTTCTTAAGAATTATGGATACAGGGTATTTTCCTTTCAGTTATATCAGTAATTGTCCAGAAGTAGTGTTTCACTGAGAAATATTTTTCTGTTGCCTTATATTTAGTTTGCTGGCCCGAGTGATAATTAATATGAACAATAATTCACAGTTGTCCTTGACTATAAATCTCAGCTTTAGCAATGTCTATACTTATTCATGTATTTCCTATCACATGCTAATAGTGTGAATACATTGTAACCTCAAATGTTCACTGAATTCCGTTGTGGAAAAAATTTGTGTACATTATATACCGCTATGGATTGTTTTAATCATTGTGAAGGAGCCGTGCTATATGAGACTTCCTGTAGTACAGGAGGCAGGAGTGGTGGCCATTTTGTTGGCAGCATCACGGGGAGACAAGAGTTGTGTGTGGGAAACCTGTGGCATTATGCTCCCCGAGATCACTGTCTGGGTATCACTGGGGGAAATCTAGATACTTATCCTTGCGTCTCCTTTACTTGCAGACTCCGACTGAAAGATTACCTCATTTGGAGCACAAACCACAGAAAGGTAAGTTTGAAAGAAGTCAGAAGTGAACTAAAATACCTGCAGTGATTCATGACTGAAGATGCTGAAATCCTAAGACACATTATTTTGTGATGACTGATAATAGGGAAGTTTTGAGAAGGTTTACACATAATAAAAAACTATTTAGTATTTTAACAAAGTCCTATTATAGTTGCACTAACATGAATAGCATGTATTGGTAACATTTACATAAAGTGACAAAAAGCTTTACATGTGTATAATCATAACAACTCCATGCTAATTGTAGTCCACTGTACATTTCTTTTGTATGATTAGTGTATGTTTGTGAATCATTATCAGACTGTGATGATACTACCAGCGTTCGAAATACCTGCCTGCCCAACAGCCCGGGACAGGTTATTTTCAACACGGACTGGCTATTCTGAAATCCACCTGCGCCACGGTCGGGTTAAAATATAGACATGTATATGAAGATATTCATCATATTTCAGGATGATAATTCATTATCAATTCACTCGTTAAATATAGAGTAAATAAGTAAATTAGTATTTTTTGTGGGCAGGTACATTTTGGTCAGGGCTGGCAAGTTTTACATCTAACCAACCCTGTGGTCTGGCTGAAATTTTGGGGAGTGTCATACCCTGATATTTGCAAAAGGTGATCTTATCCTGCCTTAAAGGTGGCACACATCACAAACACATGCAAAGACAAGTCAGTTGTTTGGCTGGAAAACACAGGAACATCTCGTACAAGTCACAGCAGGGACATATTTAACAAAGTAAAATATTGTTGTCACTGATGCATCAAATATGGAAGTGACCTTCACATGTACACCATAACAAATTTTTAATGGTTTACTAATGCTGAAGGGGTCGTTGTCGGCACGGTACTACAGATATGTACCCCAGGTACGTTTCTGTATACAGAAATGTACCCTGGCCATAATCAGAATACAGAAATGTACCCTAGGACGATTCCATTCCCAGTGTGTCATATTCTTGATCGGAACTGTCATACTGTTGTATTAGATACATGTGATTGCGTTATGTAATTAATGAGAATACACAGTAACGGATATTTCGCGATGCATATGAATACCAATCGCAATCAGTTGAACGGGAACAACTACATGCGGTTTCGGTTTTGATTACGGAATATGGACTCATCTGCCTTTCAGGGTACCAGGTACGTTTCTGTATTTTGACTTTGTTTAGGGTACATATCTGTATACAGAAACGTACCTGGGGTACGTATCTGTAGTACCTGTGCCGACAACGACTCCTTCAGCTTTACTAATGGCCTTTTTTGTTGTTACTTGTATGAAACACTTTTGAGCAAGTATTGCCCACATGATAGTGCAGGAATGAAAAGTACTCTGTACATGTTCCTTCACTGATTCATTAAGTTTCCTGATTTATGTCAGCTTAGGGTCTAAGCAGCAGGAGTAATTCATTTCAGTCTCAAACTCATGTATTAATGGAAATAGGAAAACTATCATTTACATTTTTGCAACTTTGACCTTTTCACATTTTGGTTAAGGCAATATGTATTGTGCCAGAGTCTGATGCTTCTTAGGAGTCTCTGTTAGAAACTGGCATTTAGTCTCTGTTGTAATGTTATCTTATCTAAAAGTATACACCAAAAATAGATTTCATCCAAAAGGAGCCAGAACAATTTTTAATTACAATACTTGACATGTGTTGAGATTATGTAGATTTGCCTAATCAGTCTAGACTTGAGCTGGACTCCATTTATTCTCAAGGGTCTGGTGGGCCTCCTCTTTATTGCTAGTCGTCCTTCATCATGTTATTCTTACTGTGTAAAAGTAACTTTTTTAAGTGTATAAAAGTAGCCTTAGTGACACAACATACATTGAATGCTACTTGATAATGAGGAGTCCCTGCAATGTCATGATGAGCATTGAGTTTCAACTATTTGAGACAGGGATGTGTATGTTTGTTGTTTAAAGGCACTATTTCACATCCCACTTCTCTAAAAATAATTAATGCATTTCTCTCAATAATACAAACTATCAGCCCTCAGGGAAGTTACCATATAATTTATTCTCCAACCAATTACATATTTAGATTACAATAATTAATTAAAAGTTTGAATGAATTAATGCAACTTTACATTAAATCGACTCTCACACCCACTACCGGCCGAACATTATTTTAAGCAAACCCCATAGAATTATGTCCCTTTGAGCGTTCTTTACGAATATCCTATGCATAACTTGTGATTGAAACCAGTTCATCAAACACCGACATCACCGCGCGCGACAGTTCTCAATGTATGGAACACTTGTTTACATTCCATATATGGCAAGTGTTCTCTGTTTGAAAGCTGTTTGCCTTGAAGTTTAATTATCGATTTCAGGCAAGTCGTAAGGGATAATAAGTCTTTTATTGCATCAGTAGGAAGATAAAGTGAGTTCATATGCCCCAATATATATAATATAGGCCAAAATATTGTTGAAAATGTGTGAAATTGCACATTAACTTCACACTCAACAGTATTTTAGTTTTATGATGGCTACTTGTAAATCATCAAGTCTGGAACAGAAAATCCAGTGACATCATGAGTATAAATCTTCACCACTTGCATGTGATCACGTGCATGAACCTCGTCAGCGAGCCTGGCCATCTGATCCCGTCAGTTGCCAAGAGAGTACTTAGACTATAGGAAGACAGAATTTGGTTTATTATCTCTATCTGAAGAACCGAATAATCTGAAACTTTAAAACTATGTTTGGCAGCATAAGGTAACTGGCATTTAATGAAAGTAAAACTAATCATGATTAACTGAAATGTTTATATTTACTGAATTTTCAGAATGCCAAAAATCTTGGTTTTATATGAATGATTTTATATTTAATGAAAGTAAAACTAATCATGATTAACTGAAATAATGTTTACATTTACTGAATTTTCAGAATGCCAAAGATCTTGGTTTTATATACCACATATATCCAGATTGTTCTTGGTTTGGCAATACCATACCCATACTGACGAAGATGGTTGTTGTAAGAGGCGATCGTGTGGTCAGGCTTGCCGGCTTGCTTGATGTATGTCATTGTATCACAGCTGCATAGATCGATGGTCATGCTGTTGATCACTGGATTTTCTGGTCCAGACTATTATTTACAGAACGCCGCCATATAGCTGGAATATTGCCGAGTGCGGCATAAAACAACCAAACCATACCCATGCTAGTGGGTAACATCAGAGACCAGCACCATTTTACATTTTCTTCCCTCCTTAAGCTGACATGCGTATGTAACTGAAACTCTTAGCAACACTCACTCACTCACTCACTCGACCGCAGGACATTGGGGTCCTAGTGGTTTGAGATGTCTGTCTGACCCATTGAAAATGCACAGAGCGGAAGGTCAGAGGTTCGATCCCAATTGACCACGCCATACCAAAAGATGTTAAAATATGGTACTTGTTGGTCCCTGCCTGGCGCACGGCATTTATGGGTACAACAAGGACTGGTCGGCTCGGAGTCAGTATAATGTGTCTGGGTGGGGTATTCACGCTTCACTGCGGCATGGTATCTCAGTGGGCTAGCACTATAAAACCAGCTTCAGTCTGGGCTAGTACAAGCAGCCGCACATACACATACACACGCATGCACGTCGTCATATGAGCGAAATATTCTTAAGTACGACGTTAAACCCAATTTCACCTCACCTCACCTCACCTCACCTCACCCACCCACTCACCTTTATTCCCTAACAAAAGTGGAATACGAAAAACTCTCTGTGACAATTATCCTCCCTTTGGTGGCTGTACTTGATGCCAGCCTGTTGCACTGTCATTAGTTATGAGCCAGCACATGGTAGCAATGCTGACATCATTCCAGAACATGTGTTGTGTGGAATGTAGCAGAAAAACTGTCACATGCTTGTCAGTGAGCATGAATGGTTATGCATTTGTAGTACTACACGAAGAATGCATTCACATAGCTATCTCAACCTGTAAGGTAGGAGGCAGTAGTACAGATAGAATAACGCTTGGTCTCTGAAGATGTATAATTTTGATAGTAAGAAATAATCCCATTTAAATTGAAAAGGAGCCCCAGAGAGATGGGAGATTCAGAACCCGAAGAAATCTAGACCTGCTTTGTTTATGACTTTATTATTAAAGGGAGTTCTAGCCAGTAGGGAAACTAATGACTATGTGGCAGTACAGAGATTAAAAGGCTCGGAATTGTTTTTGAAAATCCTGACAAGTGATACTTGGGTGACATGTTTGATTGGCCAAAAAATAAATTACTTTGTGTCACTTTGTTCCTGATCGTGATGCAGGACGTTTTAACTGCCGCCCTGTCTGTCAAGACTGAAAGAGAAACTGACAGCACGAGAAGAAATGAGCAATTTCAAAAATGGACTCCTGATTGATATCCAATTTCCTGCAAGGAATGAGTTGGCGTTTTTTAATAGCTAGCGATTTTCTTTACTATTTAACAAGCCGGTGATTAACATCATGAGCATCGACCGCCCCAGTTGTGATACACATGACCCCTTTATCAACCATGTCAACAAGCCTGACAACCCAGGGATCAGAATCCCTGTGAATCAATACGGGATATATATAGGATGCAGTAGATATAATTCATGTCAATCACAGATCTAACTATTTCCGGACACATTTGTCAAGTGTTCACATACAGTGGCAGAGAGATATTGTATTGAGTAATATCCCACTCCTTAAATAAAATTAAGCTGCTTAAAAAGGAAGTATCAAGTGCTTGGTCCCTGTTAGTAGACAAGTTTAAACAATTGTGTGACATTGATATAGGTATAACCCCCAGATGATATAGTTCAGAATACTTTTAGGACATAATGGTGTTTTGAGTGGCGTCATTACAGTAATTGGTACATCCTCTATCCGGTGTGAGCCATTCCTCAACATAAAGTACATAAGAGTTTTGTGGTTCTCTTGGTTGAAATTACTGTCCCTGGTAATGTTCAAAGCAAGTTTCTTCTGTGTCACATTCATTGTTTAGTTTATGAA